TCCGTCTTGGGTGTCCCTGCATGGCATAGCCCATAGCTTCTCTGAATTACTCAAGCCCCTCCGCCACAACAAGGCAGCAATCCGTGAAGTGTGCATTGCACAATCCTAAAAATAGTACCAGAGACAAAATGAATAATAAATGACCTTTTAGTTGATTTAAGGCACAGACAGTGACTTAAATCATCATTTATGGATAAATCTTGATAATTGTTTTCTGCTTCAAAGGATGGATAATGGTATAATATTTGAAACTTATTTTTGCAGACTCTCAGGCTCTGAAAGATCTCAATATATCTTTAGCAGAATACTGCCAAAAAAGAGCTCCCAGGATTTCCAAAGTAACAAAGGGGGAGCTGTGCTGTGCTTACTTTTCTGGTAAGTAAGGATGTTTGCCCTTGCTCATTGTGTCTTATATTGCAGTGATGCATTCTGGAAATTTCATCTCCCAGTGATGCAACAATATATTTGATCTGTCTACTAAATCATGGAGGGAAGTTTTGTTAATGAAGTATGAAGTTGAAGTCAAGCCTTTATTAAACATTTGTAGAGTAAATTTGTTCACTTACTGTAGATATTTACAGCATTACTAACCGAAGGGGCCACATACGATTCTGTCTTGGAATTCAATGGCTCCATAGTTGTGCACATATACTGTATATCCCAGTGCTTCACTTTCTGTGTGTGCGTGGAGTGGAGAATATTTTTCCCCAGGTTCTCCAGCAGTAAAAATGACAACAGATGTCTTTGTTGTTGTTATTAGTGGAAGGGGAACATGCTTTGGAATGTTGTTGGGGGAGAGTAGGAGCAGTCTTGGGGCTTGTAACTTGTATAATTTTGTCTGTACATCTTTTAATTTAGGTGATGGTAGATGGTATCGCGCATTGGTGGTAGAGGCTACTACATTTGAATTCTGTAAGGTTCAGTTTGTGGATTATGGAAATTGTGAAGAAATTACTCTAGATAAAGTCAGACAGATTTCATCTGCATTCATGAAACTCCCATTTCAGGCAATCAAATGTTGTCTGTCAGGTAATAGAAATGAGATAATCTGTTGAGCTGCAGATAAGAGAATGCTAAGCTTTTACTAAAGTTTAAATTGTGTGAACTAAGCATTAATTAATCATCCCAATTTCATATTTCTGAATTGGAGTTTCTGTGTACTTTAAGCTACTTTACTTTTTATTTAGTTATTATTTGAGATAATGTGTGTTGGAAAAATGACTGACATTTGTCTATCTATATTTTTAATTATCACAATTGGAAAATTTATATAGGCCATTTGCCTAATACAAAAATTTATTTCTCTCCTCCCAGTATTGGGCAAACCTGAAACATAAAAGGGTTAATGCATTTTACAAAAAAAGAGAGAAACTACCTTAGGATCTTTAGCCAAACAGAGAACCAGTTATTCTGACAAGCAACCTTTTCCGTTTCATTCTGAAACAGTTTTCCTCCTTCTATAATCTTCACCATTTTCAGGTGACTCTAGTTTTAAATGGTTTGGTGAAGACTTTTGTAGTGGAGACAGGCCTAAATTATACTGTATACTGTTGTCTCTTCAACATCCTAACAATTTCAAATATGGAAGTTTAGGTATGCATGAGCTCAGTATACTTTTGTGATTGTACAAGTTATAGTCTGAATTTTTAGATAGATGATTTAGTGTATCAACAACTGCTTATAATACAGTGGGGTCTTGACTTACGAACAGTTTGACATACGAACGTTTTGACTTACGAACCACTCTCATAGGAATATATGGACTTGACTTGCGAACTTAGATTTGAGTTACGAAATCTTTTCGTTCCTTTTTTTAAAAGCTAAGTAATCTTAGGTTAAAAGGAAAAAAGAAAAAATATCCCCCTCTAGTGGCAGAAGGCAGAATAGCAGCTTCCCATTAGTTTCTATGGACGAAAAGAGCAGATACGGATTAAATGGTTTTCAATGCATTCCTATGGGAAATGCAGATTTGACATAAGAACTTTCCGACCTAAGAACCACCTTCCAATACAGATTAAGTTGTTAAGTCAAGACCCCACTGTACTTAGAAACGTATTCTTACTATATTACATGTTATAGTGGAATAATGTTAAAAAGACATCTGACTAAATTCTGTGGTCAGTATCCTCATGAGAATTTCCAGCAGAGCAAAGGCATTTGCACAAGCACTTTGTACCTCTCGGTTGCTCTTCACACAATCAGTCCCACATCTTGTTTTGCCAGCCATTATACAATCAATGAGGATAGCCCATCAGAGGGGGAACCACTTGTGCAATAGCCCTTCCACTTTACGGCTCCTCAAGAGGATTTTGGCCAGGAAGACTTAATGTTTAAAATGTGTGTGGAGAATTGGATCCATAGGGACCTTGAGCATTTATGGACAGTGACTAAAAGTTATTTAAATAATGTTTCTTCCCAGGTATAAGGCCCACAAATAAGGAATGGACTACAGAAGCTGTAGCAAGACTGAATATGTGCACAGCTGGAAAGAAACTTCAGGCCAAAGTAGTTTCTGTATCTGCAGATACCACTGAAATAGAGCTTACTGATATTTCCACTAGCAGTCCAGTAATTGTTAATCACATTCTAATTAATGAACATTTGGCTTTAAAAAATGAAATACTGACAAATCAAAATATGCTGGCAGGTGAATTGGCAGCCACTGATTTTCAAGGTAATTAATGCTACTAATTGGTAATCTTTTGAGTGTCATGAGAAGCTGTGTAAAGATTATCTGTTTGTTTGTTAGATTGTAATTGCTAAGTTAGCCAGTGAATGTCAGAAATTATAGAATCATAGCCATGTTGTATGCATTTTGTTGTCACACCTTGGTAATTGATATGATAGTCATGGAAAGAAGACTCAGACTTGGAGGCGGGGCTTTGTTGCGGTGAGACTGGTCGAGTTTTAGAAGGGCTCCTGAAACTGACCAAGACCTCTCGGTTCGGTTCCCCCAAAACCTAGGGGGCGAAGGACTGTCACTAGGAGAAGTGATGTCTGAAGTAGCAGAGGTGATTGAAAGGGGAGAGGAACTGGCAGAAGCCTGCTTCGTAGTGGTCTCTGTGAATGCACACAAATGGGTTAATCCTGTGCCTGCGCAGGACGTTCAGAAGATTCTAGAGCTTTAGAAAAAGAGTCAATTAGCTCCCCACTGAGGGTATATTTTCTCTACCTCCTCCATCTTCCTTTCAGTTCCTCTTTTCCCCCCCGTTCCTGTAGGATGTAGGAAGAGCAGAGCGATTATCGTGTTGTGTATTCTAGCTTAGCTAGCCCTTTTTACTACTCCCTTTTTATTTCTTTTATTGTTATTAGACAGAACCTGCCCTATTCCTATTTTAGCTGCTGTTCTGTCGCGTCCCCCCTCCCATCGACGGATCCCTTTTTGTTTTATGGCCCCTCGGGGTTTCAAGCAGTGTGCTGTCTGCTCCCACAAGATTCCTTTATCAGACAGGCACGACAAATGCTTGTTCTGTTTGGGAGAATCCCACCTCGATCAGACTTGCATTGCCTGCAGAGGCTTTTCTAAACAAGCTATTAAGCTAAGGCGCCAAAGACTTCGGTCTTTCCTCTATGAAAAGACTCTTCTTCCCGCCATGGAGGGCTCCTCCCTCCCTGCACCAACTCCTCCACGTTCGGAGGTCTCTAAGCAGACTTCTCCTGCTGAGCAGGCGGCGCTTACCATTTCCCTGCCGATGAAGGCCAAGGACGCTTCAAAACAGCCTAAAGCCAAAGCACCTTCTCGTCTTGTTATTCCTGCAAAAAAGAAAACCAAAAACATGGAAGAAGCCATCTAAGCTGCCTGTTGTGCCCCCTGCTCCTTTGATACTGCTTGAGGAGTCTTTGAGGGAAGGAATTGGACTCTCTGATACTGAGGAGCACATTCCTTCAGCCCAGACAGGTCAGGATATCATGTGCATGTCTCCAAACTCAGGCCGATTTGAGGCTGCGCCAGATGCCAGCCGGGCCATTGCCCCTTCTACCCCTCGATACTCAGGGCGGGCTGATACTGAGTCTTCATCCAAACAGGAGTCTATCCACGACACTCTTAGGAAAAATACGGAAAAGCGTAGACATATCATTCGGTACCAGCCTCAAGATGCAGGAGATGGGTACCGTCCACAGGGTCTGCCACAGTTTGGCCACCCTTTCCACGCTCCATACCAATCTTACCCATACCAGGGCTACGTTTATCTGCCAGAGTTTCGAGGCACCACCATCCCTCAACCACCATGGCACCATACCGTAGCCCCTCCTATGCTACAACAGCCACAGATTCACAGAGCTTTCCACTCCACAGGCACCATCGCACAAAAGGCGATTTCTCACAGTACCTACAGTGCCCCCTAAACACGCTAAATGCAGCAGCCGGCACTCTTCAGTTCAGGCTATTACGCTTTATTCTGGTCCTGGAGTTCATGATACTGAACCCTTCTCTCCATCTACTCAATCTGAGATGGATATGGAACCAGAAGATACAGTACCACACCGCTCCCCCTCACTTGCATCTCAATCTTTCCATGACGACCACTGTACAGCATCTAGTGACTCAGATGTTCCTGATGCAGGTGATCAGGGTTCATCATCCCAACCCTCATTGGAGGACTTCTCATCATACACACAACTCATCATGCATATGGCAAAGACTCTCCAGTGAGTTACAGAGATCCCGCAACAAGAAAGGGACCTGGTTTTTCACAACATGGAGCAGGACAAAGCCTCCCCTCCCAGTCTAAGCCTTATTCCAGCTCTCTTCAAACTGGTAAAAACTTCATGGGACAAGTCACCTGCGATGGTTCAGGTACCTCGCAGAATAGAACATGAATATAAAACCCATGGGTCGGACTCTGAATTTCTCACCAAGCACCCTTTCCCCCAACTCCATCGTGGGTGTAACCTGATCATCAGTTACACCCATTGACAAAGGAGGAAAGAAAACAGACACTTTGGGCAAGAAGCTTTATAACTTTGCTGCCCTACTAATCAAGATAGCCAACTACCAAGCGGCCATGGGAGCTTACCAAAAGCATCTTTGAGACAAAATACTCCCAATGCTACAATCTTTGCCTGATCCTTCAAAAGCTGAAGCCCTTAACGTCTACGAAGAGGCTAACGCCCTCACCAGACAACAGAGGTTCGCCGTGAAACACATGGCAGACATCGCCTCCAAGTCCATGCTAAGAGCAATTGCTGTCAGACGCCACGCTTGGCTCAGAACAGCTAAAATTCTCGGTTACACAAAGACAAAAATCGAAGATCTTTCCTTCGACACTGTTGGATTATTCAACTCCATAACTGATGAGATTATGGAGAACATTCATAAGATGAGGAAGACAGCGAAATCCTACGTACCATACCAGCCATATCGGTACCATAAACAGGCCTACAAAAAGCCTCTATATCAATCTTCCACTCAATATCAACCCTTTCAGTACAACAAGGATCAGCAGGGCCAGACTTATCAAACCCAACAGTCCACCGCTCCGCTGTTCAAACAACAGTGCTTTCGTAGCTCCAAGCAGTCCTTTTGAAAGACTCAGCACAGAGGTAGGCAGTTCTAATTCTTCACTTACCACCAGATTGTTCCCATTCCTTCACGAATGGTGTACCATCACTACTGACAAGTGGGATTTTGGAAAATATTTCTGACCAGAATTCCAAGTAAATCAAGATGGTTGTTTATAGAATTTTTAAGGACCTAAATAATGATATAGAAGAGAGTGGATGTAATCTGTCAGAGAGGGTGAAAGTGACCAGATCTGTATCCAGTAAGAAGCGGTAGAGCGAGCCCCCCTCCCCGGTTTTGAGACTTGATCAGTATACAGTGGAATCTCTACTGTATCCCAGAAGATGTTCGTTAGTTGAAACGTTCATAAGTAGAAGCAAAATTTCCCATAGGGATGCATTGAAAACCAATTAATCAGTTCCAGCTGTTTTGGGTTCTTATCTAGAGGAGCCGTTCTTAAGTCCCATAGGAACTAATGCCAACCCGGTTAATCAGTCCTCTACCACCAGGGGGAGAATTTTTCTTCTTTTGACCTAAGATGAACTTAGGTCAAAATAAGGGCAGGAAAGGGGGGGAGGGAAAACCTTCTAAACAGAACACCTTTAAAAACAAGCACCTTTTAAACAAAAACAAGCACCTTTTTGGTTAAAAAAGGGCAAGTGAACACCTTTTAAACAGAACACTTTTTAAAAAGCCACAGAAGCCAGCAAGCATTATTCCAGCACAGAACTCCTCATCACAAAAAGAGTCTAAACTGCATTTTACAGTCTGCCTGCATCAACAGCCAGCACACCCCTCACAAAATATTTTCTGATTTTAAGAAAAAAACACTGTGGAGTCTCAACAAGGGGGCGTAGAGACTTGAGTCTAAACTCCATTTTATAGCCTACTTGCACCAAGAATCAGCAACCATTATTCCAGCACAGAACTCCTCATTACAAAAAGAGAGCATAAGGGGTGGGGGGGAGAGACTTGAGTCTAAACTCCATTTTAAAGCCTGCCTGCCTGGCTGCGTGCATCTACAACCACCACAGCCCCTCACAGAATATTTTCTGATTTAAAACAGACTTTAGAGCCACATTTTAACCACACACATTTTAAAACTAAAATCTACACTGCAAGACCCATCAGCACAGAAACATAACTCCCCCACCAATCTGCAAAAAACCCTGTACAGTACAGTAAATACAATGTACTCACCAAGAACAGGCAGTCTCTCTGGTTAAAAAAAGTCAAAAAGCCAAAAATTTTAAAAGCCCCAAAAATGCAGTCCATACTGTTCAGAACCAGGCAGTCTGAAGACTCTCTCCCTATCCACTCTCTAACCACTTGGACGAGCAAGGTAGCAGAAAAGCACCCTCTTCACTGGCCAACAGTTAACTGAAAGTTCGAATTTCGCACTTCCCTACCTCCCCCGTGGTTTTTTCTGTTCGTATGTTGAAGCTCCATTCGCGAGTACAAGCAAAATTTTGCGAACAGAGCTGTTCATAAGTTGAAATGTTTGTATTTAGGGATGTTCGTAAGTAGAGGTTCCACTGTATAAAAAGGAAGAAAAAGAAGGAAGAAAAAGAAGAGGGGGAGAAAAACTGCCTTTGCGATTGAACTGTTGTAATAAGACTCATTCCCACGGGACAGTATAACTATAAAGTGCTGAACAATAAAGTTGGTGCTCGCAGCCAGAATTAGAGATGAGAACTTCTGAACCTAGGAAGTGCTTTTGGATCTGAGAAGACAAGGGGGATGTTTTGAAGGCAATCCCCTTTCTTATTGCCCAGAGCAGTCTTGGATGGAGGGGCTGAAAAAAACATTTTAAAAGGAGATAAAGCCCTTCCCTGGCTGACTTATTGCTAATTGTGAAAGCTGGTGAGAAAGATTGAATTGTAAATGTTACTTGACTCAAGGTATAGTCTGTTCCTCCAAATATCCATTGTTTTGGCATCCAAAATGGTTAGAGTATTATAAACATAGAAAAACCCCAGTCTAAACTATGGAATGAAAGAAAAGTGAGGTGGCGGTGCCACATGCTGGAAAAAGACCCAGATAGCACCTCAAGCTGCTAAAACTACAAATGGAAGGAGCCAATCTTATTTTTAGATCTCAGAAATTGCCAGAAGAAAAAGGTGAAGATACAGTGCAACTGATAACTGGTTTTTTTAGCCCCACTTACAGAG